TCACAATGTGCCTTAGTAACTAGCTATGACCCCTATGCCACCCCCTAAGACTTCGAGAAAATGAACTCCTATAACTTTCTTGATACTTATGATGTTTGCTATGCTCTGAATTACTGTAATTGTCCTGCTTGAGTCACTAATTCTTCCTGTGCACTTTCAATACTTATACTTGTAGCTGCTTTATGTAACGTCATCCTGTACAAGGTCATAATTCTTTCCTAACAATAAAAAAATGAGAACTGTCTAGGTAGGAGTTGATTTATCAGTCTTCAGAAACTGAAAACAAACAAACAAACAAACAAAAATAACCCCTAAAATTTCTATCCTTTTCATATGCTTAATCATTTTTTTTCCTACCCAAAATTAATGTATGTTTTAAGAAATGCTATAGAGAAGTAAACTTGGACCTGAAGATTTTGTGTTTACTGCTTACTTTGATGACAAAACAATAAATTCAAATAGCATCAGAACACTAGATGCCTAGAAATTTGGAAAATTGCTATGTGAAAAGATAACATAAATGACAAGGAAATGTATGTGTTACATAGTTTACAGTTTTGTCTAAACCTAGACCAATATCCAAGAAAATGAGAAAATAGCTGATATCTTCTCTTTCTTCTCTGTTCTTGTGTCTAATGCTATTCCCAGGATAAAAATCATCTTGTTGCTACTGCAAGTACATATCAAATACAAGAAAAATATATTCCAAATATGAGTAACTTGTGCCATCTTGGTTTCAAAACATCACATTCAAATGACCATTTTCTCTCACATGCACAAATAAAACAACATTCTTACTGTATTCAGTGTTGTCCCCTACCATACATTCATCACACTGGGGGCAGATTGTTCTTCAGAAACAAAAATGTAAATCTAATCTTACTACACTCTTGTCAAAAGCTGCCCAATAGCTTTCCACTACAGTCAGCTCCTTACAAATAGAGCAGCTATGAACACTCGTGTGTGGGTTCTTCAAAAACTTCATGAATAAATGGAATTAAAGTACAAGTTTGTTTTGGTGTAAAAATGTACATAAAATCCATGCATATTTTTTTCATAATATAAGTTTTCATAAACTTTTTTAAAACTTCTCATATTTACATGTTGATGGCCATTATATATAACCATTTGGTGTGTGTGTGTGACTATATATAAAGTATAAACATAGCTACATGTATTTTATTTAGTACTATTGTTAATACAGTATGTTTAATATATTTACTGATTAGCAGCTACCACTAAGCATTTTTTCATTAATATAGAATTTTAACAAGAAACAACAATGGATGAGAGTTCCTCTACATGCTTGTTGACATTTTCTTTCATGTTTTAATCATTTTCATATGTGTTCAGCAATGATGAGATTTACAAAACTATGTGAAGTAATCAGCTGAAATAGATAGAAATAATAAAACATCTATTGCATGAAATATAATGCCCCAAAACAAATTGCATACATGAGAAGTCCAAGACCAAGTTTACTTTCATGTTTTTTAAATTAAAAACTGAAAATCATGAGCAAAATCTGTTGAGATTCTCAGCACTCATTGAGTAAAGGATTCAGGCATCGCCTTACATCTATGGAAACTAAAGGTTTATTGGAGTCAGCAGGTGGCATAGAGGTTAAAACAGCAAGAGCCTACACAGCTGACTCTGTGGTTCAAGTCCTGTATACAGCAGTTATATACAGCAGTTAAAAACATACGGGGTGCATGTGTGTGAGTGACCAAAATCCCAAGAGGAGAATGAAAAAGAGATTATGGCATAGCCATTTCCTTCTCTCTTTGCCTTTCTCTCTCATGATTGCATGTGCCCTATGGCAAAAATCTAAACAACAAAAAAAAAAGAAAGATAAAAAGAATCTTCAACTTTACTTATTATACATATTTCTAGAATATACTACATACGACATATATCACTCTTGCTCCACCCACCACACACGTAATCTGAATAGCCTGTACATCATGCTCAGGGCGTGATACTCCATACTACATCCCAAACATAAATATGAGTGTGCCCTTCATCCCATTCAGGCTGAATGTCCTATTCTGGCTTGCATCCCACCTACTCCACCGCTGTGGTGCTCTCTTCAACTCAGATGCACACTGACCACACCAGACCACAATTCTCATTATGCAGGCACCCAACGGCTTTGCTCTGACCACAGCATTGCTCCTCTTCACTCCAGAACACAATGTATATCTGAACCTTGCATGCATTATTTTGGCCTGTATCTCCTCTACCCATAAACCTTCAATTTTTAAATAATGAAATATGAGTTCAATAGAGTGCTCTTTCTTTACTCTTTTTCCTTCACATTTACTTCTCTATTTCCTTGACATCATTCCATTTCTGTCCCTCATATTCCTTTTCATACCTCATGCTCCCCTTTCCTCTCAGAACAATTAAGAATAAAGGCTATTAAGAAAAGCCAGCAGAGGAATATAGACTTCCGTTTTCTGAAGAAAGACTGTGGCACAAAGCATGACAGCAGCCCATCAGAGTGAGGAGGGTAGCTGTATTAAGTTAACTAAGATAATTAGTGATGCTGAGTATTTTTATATACCTGTTGGGCATTTGTGTATCTTCTTTGAAAATGTCTGTACAGGTATGTTGACCATTTTTAATTAGGTTATTTGTCTTATTGTCTTTAGTTGTGTGAATTATTGTATATTGTGAGTACTAATGACCTATCAGATTTATACTTTGAAAACATATTCTCCCATTCCATGGGTTGTGTCATTGAGTTGTTGACTTTCTTTAGCTGTGCAGAGCTTTTTAGTTTGATGTAATCCATTCATCTATGTTTTCTTTGTTGTCTGTGATTTTAAGATTTTTTTTGAAAAATTCTTTGCCTAAACCAATGTCATGGTGATTCCTTATAGAAATATGAACTTTAATAGGTTCATATTGTCAGGCTTGAACTTAAGCTTTCTACTCATTTTGAGTTTATTTATTGCATATGATGAGAAATGAGGATCTAACTTTTGCATTTTTAAACTTTATAATAATAATCCTCATATGTAGTAGGTTACATTTGACTATGGGTTTGATTTAGATTCTTCTCATGATTAGCAATGCTGAGAATTTTCTTATATATTTGTCAGTTATTTATAAGTCTTCTTTTGACAAGTGTGTATTCGGGTCCTTTATTTTTTAATAAGGTTTTTGTTTTTTTTCTTGTTAGTGAGTATTTCTTTCTTTTCTTACTTATTTTAGATATTCATCCTTTACCAGGCATATAGTCAAGAATATATATATGTATATACACACACACACATATTTATTTTTTTTTGTTCTGCAGTTGTGTCATTTTATCATTGTATCTTCACAGAATGCTTAATTTTTATTTATTTATTTATTTTTTGGTCCATAAGACACATGAGCTTGCTAGAGAGAGGTAGAGAGAGGAAAAATGAGTAATTGCTCCCTGGAGGGATATCCACACTGCAATACATTCTCATCTATTTTCTTCCCCCCCAAGATTCTGGGCTCACACTAACATGTGCCTGGTGTAATCTTCAAACCACTGGGCCTAGGACTCAAACCATGGTCAGGCATATGAGAATCTGCCTTAACCACCCTACCATCTGCTGGTCCTGAGTGCTTAATCTTTATGTATTACTATCTTATTATGATTGTTTTGCATGCCCAGCATATGAAGATTTATGGAAATACCAATTTTCAAAGAAAATATCATAAAATAACGTTTTAAAGTTTTAAGTTTATTTATAAAATTTACAAGTAGTCCTTATTTGACCAATAGACTACATGTGAGATACTTAATTTAATGGTTAGAATGTATCAAAGTAGAATATTTTAAGAATAAAACTATATTTGATGCACTAGTTTTTAATACATGATTTTCTAATTAAAATAAGTTAATTATAGCATTTGTTCATGGTGTTACAATGTTCAGAGATTTCTGGTTTAACATTTACACAGACTCAAAAGAGTGGACATAATTGAAAGTTTCTTCAACATCTATGAAGACCATAAGCACAAATAAGAATTTACAGACTTAGGATCTCAAAGAACTGAATGTAAAATAGAATTAAGAATGCTTGGATGGCCATATAAGCCTCAAACTGTCTTTAAAATGTTATTAGCTATGTTTTTATACCTCTTTTACTTAAAATAAAAACAGATAAAAAAATACAAGGAAAAGAGAAAGTTGACTTTCTGTAGTGAGTATTTTCATTTTATTACTCAAAATAAAATTTTATGTAATATATTTTGCATTGCTTCACCTAAAACATATAATTGAAGTCTAAAAATGATAATATTCAATGTAGAGGTGTAAGATTAATTTAAGAAAATTTAACTGTATGGAAAATAAACAAATATAAGTTTATAATTTTAAAAATAATGCAATACTTTAAAGTTTAGGCATGGCATACAAAAAGGTTTATGTTTTTAATATGTCATAATATATCTTCTGAATACAAGTGGTCATACTATTAGACAATAAATAAATTTTGGACCAAGTAAGAATTGCAATAAACACAATTCTGTGATTCTAATATAGCATGTTACTCCAAATTCTAGTTTCTCATTCAGTTTTCATGGACCCACTTACAGTTGTGAATTCAAATGCTTACTCATATGCATATATATGTGTGAAATGAAGTCACACCATAATAACTGTTACATTTTATATTACTTAAAATATACAATGTATTATAAAAAGAAATTATATAGTTATGATTATAATATTAATAAATGCTTTAAATAAAGATATGTCATTTATTAAGAAAATTGATAATTTTCTAGAAGTTACAAGATATCATGTTCTCTTCATAGAAATTGTTTTAAATATATGCAAGTTTTAGAAATGCATATTTGGTCAGAGGTTAGAAAAACTTTATTCATTCAGTTAATTATCTGTATGACTAAAATACAAGCAAATTAAGGCAGGAATTTTATATTTGAGAATATTTCAAAAAGTTTGTGGAGAAACAGAATTAAAATATGAGTTTATTTTGCTGCAAGACAACTTTGAAATTCACACATAGTTTTTCATAATACACATTTTCTGTAAACTTTGAAGACCCTTTGTACAGCAAATCTTCAGAGCTATAGAGACGTGACCCAGGAAAGCCATGTACAGATTCAATGAGTTTTGTCAGTGATGGAAATCAAGGCTTTGAACTTCCTTTGGCATTTGGACACTCATCAGTGTTTTTTTCTTTTCAGGTTATCCTCTTGAGAAAAAAGTAAGGGGAAAGAAAGAAGTGAGCATTAAGGGAGGAAGAAATGGCAGATCTATTGGGAAAAATCTAAGAGGATTTTACTGCCTGTGTCTCCAATCCAAGGGCATGGTTTTTAAAGGGCTTGCCCTAGGGATTGAATGAGCAAAGTGTCCTGATGAAGATTTATCTGTGGGTCTCGGAGAGGTCAAAACTATCTTTATGTTTTTGAGGCAAGTTAGACTTGTAACAAATAATAATGAGATGAACCAGGTCTTTAAGTGAAAGACCAGGAAAGAGACAAGTGGCAATGTATGTGAGTGAACTAAACAGTGGATATTTGGCTTTAAAAAATGCTACCTAGGAATTTTTATTGTTTATGTATAGGCTGTTATGTTGTATTCTTAATAGGACACTTCTAATTTCATATATATATTCATATTTATATCTGTATGTTTGTTTAGTTCCTGAGAGATGAGCATCTCCAATAGCACCTCACTACCACCTGATGCCCTCCAAACTTCTAACCAAGCAGGATGGATCACTAGTGTAGCCAGCCTATTCAGGTCAATCTAGAATTTGAACTCAGAGCTCTATATACCTCTAGCACAGCACATCTGTGCCACCATGACCACCAGGCTTCTATATATTTCTGATAACGTTAAGGAAAGGTAATACCCTACCTAGCTATATTAGAATAATTTATGCTGCTAGAACCAACTACCAGGCTTATAGTTGGCTTATAAGCATCATTTGGAAATTTTATACTTGCATAGGAACAGTTGGCCTTGGTTGAAGCTCTTATATTTCTTCATATCATAGTGAGATTTTTGCCAATCTGAACAAATGACATAGAGCATCTTGGTTTAACTTTTATGTATGTTACTTTTACTTTAAGTCGATTCATTTTGCATGCTTAGGGAATGATTGTATTTTCTGGTAATTGTATTTTCATGTCGTGTACCTATTTTTCTATTTGATTTGGGGGAATTATTTTCTTCCTTTCTACTGCTTTGCATATGAGGAAGATTGCATCAATCTACTCAATCTGTCGTTGAACATACCATAAACTGGGTAGTTAAGGACATTTATTTTCTCACAGTGGCAAAGTCCATGATCAAAGTCCATGATCAAAGTCCATGATCAATGTGTCAACAGGATTTCTTTCTTTTGGAGCCTCTCTTCTTGGCTTGCAAATGGCCACCATCTCCTTGTGTCCCCATATGGCCTTTTCCTGTGTTTGCAATTTCCTGGGGTCTCCTATATATCCCAATCTCTTAAATTTATTCTTACAAATATTATAATCATATTGGATTAGGACTAGATCTAATGTCTACTTTTTAGCTTAATTACCCACTCAAAGATTTGTTTTGTTTTGTTTTGTTTTTAAATGCAACCACACTCAGAGGTACTGTGGATTAAGACTTCAGTCTTAGTGAGGAGGAAGCATAATGCACTCCATGATACAGACTAACCGTTTTTCAGTGATACAGACATTTTATAATATGTTATTTATCTTTGTAATTGCATATAATCCTCTGTCACAGACTTACATTGAATATCTTTTCATCAGACGTAAAACCTAAATGCATATTTGCTAAAGTTGTAATATGAAAAATGAAATTAGGGAAAATCAGGTCTGTATTTTTCCTAATTTTTTAAGTTTTTTTTTTTTCTGTTGTTGTTTTTTGCTATAGGGCACATGCACTTGCCAGAGTGACAGAGAGACAGAGAGAGAGAACAAAGACTCACCGCCCATGGGGAACTGCCAGCCACACAGCAATTTTCTGTGCTCCAGTCTCTCCTTGGGATTTTACACGTGCATGTACATGAACTGCTCCATTAGCCTTGTGGTATCCAGTGCCTAAAACTGCACACCACCTGCTGGTCCATAATTTTTGAAATCCTTTAATGAAAGAACTATATTAATGTTAATAAGGAAGTAGATAGTCTAAAAGTAGGTAGTCTAAAAGTTGATTTAGAAAACTTTGTGTCCCCAGATTCCAGCACATGTTACTAGAATGGTATTCCCCTACATGAAGGGAGAAGCGTGAGGAAGAGAGAGATATTATGAGAACTACAAGAAATATATAAACCAGAAAATTTATCAACTCTACCTCTTAGTATTTTACCTAAATTTTAGAGATTCTGATTAAAAATTGGATTCAATTTCCATAAAAGCAAACAAACAAAAACTATTCATAAACTAGTGAAGACTAAATCCAATAATTCTCAAGGAAAACTAAAACGAGAGGTTTTAAATTATTTCATTTTTCCACGATGGTTATATATTAATTATCAGAGTGTGGATATTAGCAAAGTGAGTCTAAAATGTTAACACGTAGAAGGGAATACACTATGGTAGGAGAAACTATATTTTGATGAACCCATTGAAAGGATACAGCAATGAAAGAAAATAAGGAGTGATTTTTAAAAATGATGGTGTTACAGCTAGAAACTGAGAAATTGAGAAAATAGCATAAGCCCTTTATGACCTCAACTTTGACTTTATCTTTGTATCATTTTATGCCATTGGTCCTCGTACCCTCTATGCCAGCCATGGACAAATGTTTTCATTTTCCCTGAAGGGTAAATCTTTCCCTGTCCGTATGTGTTGCTTATGCTGTGTCCTTTTTGTCACTCTAGGATTAGCAAATGTGTCTCTTCATAAGTGGCTCAAGTGTTAGTATGGAAATATTTTCTGTGAGAGTGATACTTTCCCATGTGTCTTATACCCCTAGCCCCCTTCATGCATAGTTCGCTGTGAAGTACAGCATTTGTTCACATGTCATCAGTCTTTTGTACAGAAATCAAATGGGACTCGTTCTTATTTTCTCAGTGGCCAAACCAGTCAATACCTAAAGAAGACACCCAGCAGATATCTGCTGAATGAATGAGATAAACGCTTTGTGAAATAATACCTTTTGTCGATTTGTAAATATCCATGGAGCATTAATGTCTCTCTTCAAGATCAGGAGTTCCTATAATAGTAAACAGCTGGAACTTAATATTTCAGTCTATGTTACATAAAAGAACTTTATGTATGTTAGGTTATATTAAAGTACTATATTAATATTACATGTATACTTCAGTTAAAATAGATAAAATTTTCGTTTCATCTTCTATAATTTTTTTTACATATAAGAAGCTACATTAAATAAAAAATATTTCTACCCATTTCTAATTTAAGTAGTTCATTACAATAATAGAAACTTATAAGCACACAAAATATGACACCTCTGAAAGGGGCTATTTGTTTAAATACATCTTTTTAAATTAGCATCTGTAGAGACATTGCTGTAAGATTACATTTACCAAAGTAATGTTTCTTAACTATAATACAGAAAGCAAGTTTCATAAGAACTATAATATATACACCTGGGATTCATTTAAACAAAATATTTATTTGGTTATGTCATCTCTAACATAATGTTCCTTTCATTTATTTTTATAATTAATTATTTCAAATATAGGTATAAAATGGATATATTAAAATTATGCAGAAAGATGGAAAACATGTTTTAATTTTATGAGCTATCTGTTGATTCAAGTTTATGAACACATATCATATTTACACATACTTATATATTTGCTTTTTCTATGATAAAGTACATTTAAAATAAAAACTATATCTCTTGATACTTAACACTATGAATGACATGATCAGCTAATTTTTAAGAAATGTCAGTCTGGGAAACAAATGACTACAAATTAGCATTGATAAATTAAGTAATGCTGATGAAATTATACATTTTCTTATAAAAGCATTCATTTATGATTATAACCAGTTTAGTCTCAAGCATTTAATGCTCACCTGATTTTAATAATATAGTTATCTATCAATAACTTAGAATTTTATAACATAGAACTGAACATATTATCTTAAATACAACTCTGTAAGTTTAGAAATAAGCAGAATACCAAAAAACTGATGTGGGAGATTTAAGAGAATTAACAAGCAAGACCTATTTCTATTGTACAAAAAGAAAAACTAGGAAACTAATCGACTCTTTCACTGTTGAATAGAAAGCGTGTCACATTTTCTAAAGCTCTTTGCTACATTTGGTACAGTAATCTCCATCAAGGGGCAAATTGTCTTTCCTTTTACAGACCATTACCAGCCACAATTCAGCCAATGGGACTTGAGAGAAAATACTTGTAGAATAGTCTCTAAATTCTGGCTTTGATTTGTGTCGTGTAAAAGATCTGAACAAAAAGTTAACAGAGAAATAATGGTTTTCTTATCTGTGAATCATCTTTATTTATATTGGTCATTTCATAAAACATCTCGAATTAGAGAAATTATTTATTTGGAAAAATATTTATTTTCCAAATATAAATATATTTATTTTCCAAATGAAATGAAGACACACTACACGTTTTTAACACAAGAAAATCTCAAAATAGAAGTTTTTGATTTAAAAAAACATTATTGGAGACATAACATTTACAATCAAAATACTAGTTTGAAAGTAATAGTAATTGCCTTATAAAAATGTTTAATTTTTAAATAGTATTTTTTACTATATTTCACTTTCTAAATGATAACCAATAATAAATGCAAACATTAGGATCAATCTATATTTACAATAAATAATATACATATATATATACACACACATTTTTAAAGAGAGATTCTTGCTATAGCGTGCATGTACTCACCAGAGAGGCAGAGAGACACAGAGAAAGAAAGTGAAAAATTACTCCCTACTGGGGATGGCCACGCCACAATTCCTTCTTCTCCATTTTCCTCTCTGGATCTTTGTCACTCACACACACTTGATCCTGTGTTTCGTTTTCTTTTGCTTGTTTTGTTTTCCTTTTGTAAAAGAGATTTTCTGCTATAGGATGTGTGCAGTCACTGGAGAGATGAGAGAGACAGAGAGACAGAAATTGAGAAATCACCCCCTGGAGGGACAGCTACACTGCAATCCCTTCTTCTTCATTCTATCCTTTAGATTTTAGGCATGTATGTCCATGCACTAGGTGTGAGCTTTAAGCTGCCAGAACCAGGACTTGAACCATGGTCTCCCATGTGGGTGTCCAGCAACATAACCATAACAGCATCTGCTGGTCCCGATAAAATATTTTTGATATTCAATTATTTATTCCAAGAAAGTGAAAGATTACTAAAAATACTGTTTATCTGTCAGTGACTCCTGAGTTAACATTTTTGGCCTTGATGTTTTCATTATGCCTCAAAACCACATGACATGTTTATTTGGCAATGCCCACAGACAGTTCAAAGTTAGCATGACTGTTGCAATAGCTTTGATCTTCCAACTAGAGATACATTACATAACTAGTATAGCTCCTTCAGTCTTTTTTATCATGTGCCTGCTAAAGTGAAAAACTTGGGTGTCATTTTACAATGTCTCAATCAAATTAGCCTTAATATTTCAAACTGAATCTGCTCTACTGTGAACTCAGATCATGCCACTACCATTAATTGGAATCACTGTGACTGTCTAAATATATCTCTCATACCAACATTTTCCCTGACCATAAAGGATATGGAGTGATTAAAAAGTAAAAATGGGTCTATAATGCTCCCAAGATGAAAACACTCATTGTATTCCCATTGCCTTTAAAATCCTCCTGCTTATGTGTCTCAACTTACCTTATCTCACATTCACTAAGTTGCAGTCACATTTTCTTTCTTTCTCTTTTACTCCAAGTATCTCTCACATTGCCCATAAGCACATGTTCATGACTGCCTGAAATCAGGTGATTAGACCTCACAGCTGATTTTCCTAGTCATCCATGTCTCAGTTCAAATGTCGTTTTGTCAGGCTGAAGCTTTTCAGAAGTGGTTAATTTAAGTCAATATTCTCTTGCTTGTCACAGACATCAATCACTGTTTAATTAATTATAGTGTTTGATTTCCTTCATAGCATGTTACAAAGTCTAAAATTGTCTTGTTATGTAGATATTTGAGTAGTATCTATTTCTTCTGCAAGCCAATGCTCAAGAATTGTGTTACATATGCCAAGCACACAAATATTGACTAGTATAAAAAATGATACTCTAGGGACCAACAGTTGATGTAATGGCTACGTCGTCACTGGACTCCCATGTAGTCGAACAAAGTTCGAGTCCCGGACCCGGTGGCTTAAACTCACGCCAGGTGCATGTGCATGCATGCCCCAAGGTCATGAGAGGAGAGTGGAGGAGAAAGGATGGAAGAGTGGCCATCCCCCTTAGGGGGTGATTTCTCGCTTTCTGTCTCTGTGTCTCTCTACCTTTATGGCAAGCACACACACCCTGTATCAAAAATCTCTAAAAAAAAGATACTCTATATTTTAAAAATAGTTGAGTATCTAATTTGCAATTATTTGCTACATACTTGGATAACTTGGGTATAAAAAACTAAAGGAAAAGAGGCCTCTGGTCTTATTAAAAATATTTTAAAATCAAGTATATAAACACAAGGGGAAAGAAATAAAAAGGAGTCTGTCATATAACACAGAATATAATTAATCAATCAACTCAGATTTCAGATGATTATATGCATGAAAATGGTTGTAATTAGACTGACTGAAAAGTAAAGGGAGACAATAAAATGTTTTTAAAGAGAAAGTTATACAATCAATAATACATATAAAATAATAGGCATTTTAAAGAAAACAAACAAAAAGGCTTAGATACTAATGAAATATTTTTAGATGAAGGGGAAAGTTAAATGAAAAGTAACTCCATTTGGAGTGATAGATAAATGGTGGTTTCATAGATAGCAACAGATAAATTGAGAAAGGATTATCCCAGGAAAATCCCTGAACCTGATTTTGGCTGTTGGTATCAACTAACTCTCTTATCAAGATTCTGAAAGGAAAACCACTAAAGAGACTTGTTTTTCATATAACTTCTTTCTTGCCAAGTGACAAAAATCAGTGAAAGATATGCTATAGGGAAAAGGCATGTAAATCAGAATTTCTTTTCACTAGCCATTTTCTTGCAGGTGGGTAGCCTACAAGTTCAACTACCTTCGGTGAGCTTCATTGTCTACATACAGAAGTTTTAAGGACAGGCTTTAACTTTTGCAAGTGCTGTTTGCTTTGTTTAGGAGTCTAAAATTAAAGTAGGAGAAAGGGTAACCTATAAGATTAAAATAAAAAAAAAACCCTTATGTCCCTTTAAAATTTTAATTTTCACATAATATCAGACAAAGATAGAATTCTAACTTCAATTTTACTTAGCTCATCCAAGTATCAAACTTTTATCATGCTTGCTTTACAATTATATTTTACTTTTACTTATTTATTTATTTCTTGTTCTTTTGTACATTCAATCACATTATTTAGCTTACAAAGTGAATATTCAAACATTTGTACATTTCTCCATAGTCCAGTTGATAATTCTATTAAAATTATCTTCTACAGCTAATAATACATTTATTTGTCCCATTATTGTTTTGTCCCTCTATTTTTATTCTAAATGTCCTTCCTCATACTCTACTCCTTCACAAACACTGTATCTGATATTCACAACCATTTACTGTGTTTCTATATACTTTAGTCAATTAGTTTCAAGAGTGCAGAAACTTGGTATATATTAAGTGGGTACATACAATGTCTCTCCTTCATTGCTTCACTCAGCAGTAAATCTTCCATATTTATCCACTTTCTGTCAAAAGCCAGGGTCTTGTTTTTTTATGACTGAATAGTATTCCATAGAGTATATGTGCCACCATTTTTCAATCCATTCATCTGTTTGTGGGCATTTGGGTTGGTTCCATGTCTTAGCAATTGTGAATAGTGCCACAATAAACATTGATGTACAAGCACTTTTCAGATTAAGGATTCTTCTATCCTTTGGGTAGATACCAATTAGTGGGACTGCTAGAGCATATGGTAGTTCTTCTGTAGATTTTTGAGGAATCTCCAAATTGTACTCCACAGTGGCTGGACCAATTTACATCCCCACCAGCAATGTAAGAGAGCTCCCCTTTCACCAAAGAATTATATCTTTCTACAAATTTTTAATTGTTTGACAGTTATTATGAACCATTGCTTCAGTTTACCTCTAAATACCTCACTGTGTATTTCCCAAAGCAAAAATATTTTTAATAATGCCAATTATTAAAATAATATCTATAGCTCTTTTCAGGTTCATATATTTTTATTTATTTATTTATTTATTTTTGGAGAGATTTTTGTTATAGGGCGCTTGCGCTCACCAGACAGACAGAAAGAGACAGAGAGACAGAGAGCGAGAAATCATCCCCCAAGGGGGATGGCCATGGTGCAATCTCTTCTCCTCCATTCTCCTCTCGGGATCTTGGGCACGCACGCACACACGCCTGGTGTGAGTTTTAAGCCACCGGGTCTGAGACGTGAACCGCGATCAACTACATGGGAGTCCAGCGACATAGCTGTTACGCTAACTGCTGGTCCCCATATATTTTTATTAATAACAAAAGAAATATTGCATTACAGTGCATTTCTTCTGTCTCCTTAAGAACAAGTTTCTCAGTTTTCATTTTCTTAATGACATTGATATTTTTGAAGAGCACAGAGCAGTTATTTGGTACAATGCCTTTTAATGTGTGTTGCTCCGATGTTTCTGCATGATTAAATTTATGTTAAGCGTTTTTAGTAGGAATGTCACAGAAGTGTTGTATTTTCAGGGCAGTATATCAGTTGATATAATACATTATTTATATTTTTCCTTTCCATTGCTATATATACATATATGCATAAATGAGACCATATAAATAGTCTTTTGCTCATCAACATATTTATCATTAGTTTTATAATGCATTTAAGTTCTCACTTGAATCAATTCTGTTATGGTTCTTGCCATATAGCCACTATATAATATCACTATACCTTATAAATGTATATGGTGATTTAATAATATAATGAAGAACATTTCTTTTTTTTTAAATTTTGCAAGAGAGCTTTTTTGCTATAGGGCATGTGAACTCACTAGAGACACAGAAATAGAGAGAAAGTGAGAACCCATTGCCAGGTGGATGGCCACATTGCCATCCCTTCTCTATTTTCTGGAGATTTGGGGCATGCACACACGTCACACACGTGCACCCAGCATGAGTTCCAAACCACGAGATCTGGTACTCAAATGGTGGTCAACCATGTAGGAATCTAGTTCCTTAACCACTCCATCTCTTCTTGGCCCCCATTTATTTCCTTCTATTTATTTGTATCAGATACATATTTATAAATCATTATTTATTTCACTGGGTTGTAGTATCATGCTTAATTAATAAATGTGAAAGAGATAGATATTCCTATTATCAATACTGTCAATCTACTTAAAGAAAGTATTTTGGGGGAACAGCAGACGGCATAAGGGTTACATTGCTGGACTCCTACATGGCTGACTGTGATTAGACTCCCGGACCCAGAGACTTGAAACTCACACCAAGCATGTGTTTTTATGTTCCCCAAACTCTGAGAGGAGAATAAGAGGAGAAAGGACTACAGCGTGGCCATCCCCGCTAGGGGATGATTTCTTACTTTCTGTCTTTCTGTCTCTCCAGCGAGTGCATGCAATCTATAGCAAAAATCTCTCTCAAAAAAAAAAAAAAATTGAGTGCAAAATTAAGATACCATCAATTTGTGTAAGATCCAGTGTTTATAATCATGATAACTATCTTTTATTCTCTCTTTACTGTGTTTTTGGTAGTTCTCTCAAGCTTATATTACAGTTTATTAATGTTTTCTTCAGATGCAT